TTGGGTATTGAAACGAGAAACGTCTTATATTAGTTTTATTTATTTATTTATTTATTAAACTTCCCCTGAGTTAAAAGAAAAAAAAAAAGAAGGATAAATAAGCTCAATAGTAAAACGAAAAGCGAAAAGAAGAAAGCTCAGTGAGGAACAATCACAACAGAGTAAGCTCTCCTTCGTAGAAACGTGTCATTGAATACATCTGGTAACAACCCGATTTTATATAGAAACATAACTGTTTCTGTCAAAAACTGCCGATTCACGCCGCTCTCACCGCTATATTGGAAATAACGCTACCACAATGCAATGCAATCGGAGTGCGCACACCTCCTGGCTGAGTGTTGAGCTTTTACTCACTGTGAGAGAAAACAGCATCTGCGGAGAATACCGGCGGAGACTGGAACAAAGCAAAGGCTACTGAAGAAAACTGGGGAACAAAACTCCCAACTCTCGTCCAGAGGTGAGAACCGCGTTTGTTTTGAACAACGAGCTGCTGAGCGACGTGAAATTTGTCCGTACCTACATACATACCTTGGTTAATTGACCACTCCCCATAAGGGCTTTTCAGGGCCAACACCCACCCATCCCACCCAGGGAAGGACTTCCATCACACAGTAATCTCGTGCGGGGGAAATTAACGTCTCCTACCCCCCACCCTGCAGGAGACGGGGCTTACGGTTTATTCGTCCTTATCCGAGAAGACTAGAATATCTACCCAATTCTTGATTATAGAAAGGTAGCAAATTCTCCTCACTTATTTTAAGACTATGAGTATTGGTCCGGCCGGGGCTCGAACCCTCGACCTCCCGCACAACACAATCCGGCGCTTTAACCCGCTTGAGCTAACCTGGCGGCGGTTAGCTCAAGTACCTGTGTCTAGTGGAGGAAGTGAAATTACGAAAGGGATCCCAGTTCACAAGTTTTTGCTCGTAATCAGTAGCCTTGTGTTCTTTACCATGTTCTATGGTCAAATGGCGGAGACTAAAGACTCTATCGAACTGCCTGACTGTGATTACGAGGGTCTCTTGGAGTTGTTTCGCTTCCTCTACAGCGACGAAGTGACTTTAAACAGAAAAAAATGTGATGCAAGTCATGTACTTGGCGAACAAGTACATGGTGCCTTCACTCGCTGAGAAATGCACAAAATATCTCCGCGACAGTTTGACAGCAGCAAACGTGTATAGCATTCTGCCGCACGCTCAGAAGTTTGAAGATAAAGAGTTGGAAAATCGATGCTAGACAGTGATCGAGAAGCATACAGAGGAAGCTGTGACGTTTGACGAATTTCTCACTGTCGAGCGATCTGTTATTGAATCTGTTGTGAAGAGGGAAGGGTTGAGCGTGACGGAAGTGGAATTGTTCAAAGCTGTTGATCGCTGGGCCACCAAAGAAGGAGAACGGCAGGGGATCACATCTGATGGAGAGACGAAGAGAAGACTGCTTGAAGAGGAAACCATGAAAGACATTTGCTTTCCGTTAATGTCACAAACGGAGTTTGCCACTGTAGTTTACGACACTGTCATTTTATCCCGCAAGGAGACTGGCGACTTGATAAAATACTACAGCAAAGTCTTGAAAATTCCTTTACCATTTTCGCATTGAGCAAGAAAGATGTTTCGTAGGTCTCGAGTCAACAGATTTGACAAGTATCAAAGGCCATGTACAAGTTAGAATCACAATAGGGGCTCGCCTGACATTGTTCGCTTCTCTGTTGACGGGACGATTAAGTTGCTTGGAATATAGGATTTTGGTTCCCTAGGTGGCAAATAAAAAGTCTCTACTGAGGTCAAAGATACAGCAACTAACTCAACTGTTGTCAAAAAATCAGGAACATTCGCTTCAGAAAAGGACGAGAACTATTGTTATTACGGCTTTGACGTTTTGTTTGATAATCTGGTAAACTTGGAAGCAGATAAGCAGTATGAGTTAGAGTCACTTATCGACAGTCCTGTATCATGGTCCCAAAAGCATGGGCGAAAGTCTGTTGAAGCAGAAGGAGCGTAATTTACTTTCAGTGGTTTAACGTATGAGGGCAATTGCACCTCACATGAAGAAGGCCAGTTTTCCGCTTGTATTTTCATCTGAACTGAAACAGTTACTGCATCTACGCACAATTGCTATAACAATCTCCCGATTCAGTTAATTTTTGAGGAACTGGTTACAGTATTTCTCAGCTATTTCTTACTGATTATCCCGAAATGAATGGATAAATAATCATCTCTGGGATAGCTTTAACCCTTTAAACCGGCTAAGAGTGACCAGCATCTAATTTCTTCTTACAGTAATGCAGCTGAATCATTCATTGAGATCGACAGTTCTTCTATCATCTTCAGTTCTAATTAACACGAAGTACAAAGTTGAATTTATAGTGAACACAGAATGCTAATTGGACATAAAAGCAAAGGAACGAAGACAATTAAATCAACATGTCAAGGTTACGTTGATGATTTGGTATGGGTTACTCCCATTGAATGTTAATAGCTTCTTTGATTTTTATTAGGTATCC